CCTTACAATAAACTTCACATTCATTAATGAATTTATTTAAAATTAGTTTATGATCTTAAAATTCTAAAATCAGAGAGATTATTTGGTTAGTTACCAGATTAGCTAGTTAAGAAATATCAAACCAAAGAAGATTTAAGGAACGAGATTAATACTTTAAATAGAGAGTCTTATATTAAGTACTATAAAGAAAGTTTTTCATGATAAGGTATAGGGAGTATTAAATTTTATATCAAAATTTTTAGGTAAGTTGGACTCTTAGAACTTATCAAATCTGAGGAAGGCCTCAAAATTTTAGAAGTCCTTATGAAGATATTTACATTTTTCTCTTATCCGCAACAAGTACATACGAGAGAAAGGTATAATGATGTCTTAAACATGGATGAATTAAAAAGTGCCATACTTTTAACAAATGAAATAATCAGTAGAGTGACTAACTTCTCAAGTTTTGTACAATATATTGAAAAAAAAAATGTTTAGTGATGGCTGATAACATATTACACATAGATAACTATTTGATTGAATTAGATTTGTTGAATTTAATTAAAGATAATTTTTTTAAAAATGTTTTCTGCATTGTTGGGCCATAATTAATTTTTGGGCCCCATATTTTGAAAAACCACACCAAAAGGAAATGGCACGGCATGGACGTAAGTGGGTATTCGAGTTGCCCATATACAATGACCCAACGATCCAAATCACGACGACCCAATCAGGAGTCGCCGTTTACTTAAAACGACGAATCAACGATGAGAAGTGGGGTCCCTCGAGCAGCAGGTGCCTCCCGGAGGGAAAAAGATGGGATGGTTCGTTCATTGATGATTCCTTCGTTTAACGCTTACTGCGGAAGCAACCTACTTGATCGATCAACACGATCTTCGACCTCTAAATCCATCCCCAATATCATCCGATCGGGTTGCAGCTGACTGGCTTTGGTTTTCTGATTGTAGAAATTTGATTGAGTTTCTGGGTTTCGGTTTCTAGTTGTGGTTACTGATTCAATCACCATGAGTTTTATCTTCGGAAAGAGAAAAACTCCCGCTGGTTTGTTCATGTGCTTTTCTTTCATTTTATTTATTAATTTTCTCAAATAATGAGTACTGAATGGGATTTAAAGTATCTTCTGTTGATATATCTTGTGGGGGAAATCTAATTGGCTGCGCTTTGTATTCGATCGTACTATTGAGGATTTAAATTGGGAATTGGGGTGCTAAATCCGGATTATTGATTTTATCTTGTGATTCAAATTATGAAATTTGTTGCAATCGCCCTTGTTTCTTTTTGATCAGTGGTTTGGATGATACCTTATAATATAGCGTATCATGTGGTTTGTTCTGAGCAAAAATTACAATAACTGTAATTTTTTGCTTGCCAACTTCAATTATAACTCACTGTGCTGTTGTGCAATGATGTTGTAGTTTTAAATTCCTTGTATAACTTTTATGGTTATAAAAATCATAATTCTAAGTGAGTAATTGCTTGCACATAAACTTTGTTCACTGGATGTAAATTGATACCCGAGTGAAATTGTTTGCTAGTTTCTTGCATGCATACCATCATCAAGTATGCATGTTTATTGTTTGACATGCTCGTAACAGTATTCTCTGTTACCTTACAAATGGAATCCCTATATACCTTATTGGGCTAGGGGCCTCTAACATGCCTTTCTCTGATGCCCTTTGCAATTCCCTATATGCTTATTATATAATGCGTGAATGTAATTTGTGATTTTCAGAACTTCTGCGGGAAAATAAGAGAATGTTGGACAAATCAATTAGAGAAATAGAGCGGGAGAGACAAGGCTTGCAATCACAAGAAAAGAAACTGATTTCAGAGATAAAGAAAAGCGCCAAACAAGGCCAGATGGTATGGCATTTTCTTTTTGTACTTTTGGTTTCTTATTTTACTTTCATTTTCTGAAGTAGCATGTTGTATATTCATGCTGAACTGGTTGTGGCACATCTAGTTATCTTGGTATTCATTTTTTTAGTTAGCAAAATGGGAGTAGCAGTTTTGCTTTATCAGTTTTGACCATTTTGTTGTGTTAATTTCACATGCTTTGTAATTGCCACTTTGCTAGTCACATGTGACAAAAATCAAATATTCCTAGTATTTTTGCAGATTGAAATGTTTCCACATGATCAGGCAAATAGCCATCGCAGACTTAATGGATTTCTCAATCCCATCCTACCAAAAAGAAAGAAAGGCTTCTTTTTTTCTTTTCCTTTTTGAAATATGTTAAGAATTGTTTCATAGTCATTAAGTTTACAGTGCTTTACACTTGCCATTAAATTCGGGCTGTGTATTCTGTCTTTAATTACATTATTATATCTAACAGTCTCCATTTTCTTTGTGTCTTGCAAAATCTACGAGTTAGAGAAGAAAAATACTTGATCTCCATGGACATATTGGTGGACGAAATAGAACTACTGATTTCATCTTGATGACTACCGTTTGGAATGGGTTTTTTTTTTTTTTTTTAATTTCCTGTCATTGGAACAAACTATAAAGTAAGAAAATTATGCAGTCATTTTTACTGGTACTTTACTTCTACCTACTTTTAAAGTTTGAAAATTGATATCATTTTAAAGCATGAAAATTTACATAGATTTAGTTCTTGGGAGTGACTCAAGCTGGCTTGCATATGAAGGGTATTTTCTTTTCTTGTTTGAATTGGTAGTCTGTTGCCCTACATATTCTGATTTACTTTCAATATGTGGATCAACTTCCCAAATCTGACTGTCTGTAATGCTGAATTTTTGTCTGTCAGTTTATTATGGTTCACACGTGATTTGTCTTTGAAGGAGGTGGCATGTGTCTTGCCAATGTCAATCTTAATTGGTGTAAATGCCTTTTACTTTCCAGGGAGCTGTTAGAGTGATGGCAAAAGATCTTGTTAGAACAAGGCATCAGATTGAAAAGTTTTATAAGCTCAAATCACAGCTCCAGGGTGTATCACTTAGAATTCAGGTATGCTGTAGTTCATATAATTGCAACTTTTGGTTTGTACTGGAAAATAGTCTGCAAAGGATGAACTTGTATTTTGAGGCTCCTGGCATTGTTATTAGAAAAGGATTTCCCAGCGGACTGGCAACTTCCATGGATATGGATTGATAAACCCTTCATTGGTGATTAAAATATGTGCTTTAGCTTGTATTTGGGTGCTGGAAGTTGAAGTATATTGTAATACAAATTCCAGACTTTGAAATCAACACAAGCAATGGGGGAGGCCATGAAAGGTGTGACAAAAGCAATGGGACAGATGAATAGGCAGATGAACTTGCCATCTCTACAGAAAATTATGCAAGAATTTGAGAGACAGAATGAGAGGATGGAACTGACGACTGAGGTGATGGGAGATGCAATAGATGATGCTTTGGAAGGAGATGAGGAGGAGGAAGAAACAGAGGAACTAGTGAACCAGGTTCTAGATGAGATCGGAATCAATGTAAACCAGGAGGTATATCAAACACTTCCTGATTATTCAACTTCTTTCTTTTCCTTAAAAGTGGACTATTTAATCTTCTAACAATGCCTGACAACTTTGAATGTCATGCACAGCTTGTGAATGCACCATCAGCAGCTGTTGCTGCCCCAGCGGCAAAGGCAAAGGTGCCTCAAGTCGAAACTACTGGAAATGACGACGGCGGGATAGATAGTGATTTGCAGGCAAGGTTAGACAATTTAAGAAGAATGTAGTCTTCATCCTGTATTATGTACACTCCAACTTTACTTGGAGAAGTGGAGTATATTTGTATACCATGTCCATGTTATGCATAATTGGTAACTTCTGCCAGGCTTTCATGAACTCAGGATTATAGGACAAAATGGATATTTTTCTAAATAAAATTTCCTCGTCAGTTTTTACTAGCCACGTGGTGCATTGTTTGAACAATTGAGATATAGATTTTGTATTTAGCAAATTTATATTTGATATCGGTTTCTTGTGCCTTGATTTTGTGTGCCCTTCCAAGCTGTTAAATGGCTTTGAAGTGCATGAATGATATTATCGGAATGGATTAAAGAAATAAAAATAAAAATAAAAATAAAAATAAATTAAATTACTTTCTCTTATAGTAAGTATGATAAAACATTATATCACAGATTATAGATAGGAAAATTATCACATTCTTTACAAATTTTATGAATCGTGATTTTTAATTTTATAAATTAAATTATCCTTCTTCCCTCATGAATATAGTTGAATAATCTTTCCTCCACATTTTAATCATTTTATTTTTATTTTTTTAATCCATTCCATTCTCTTTATTTCCAATAACCGATTGGACGTTGTGTTCAACCTAGTGTTTCTTTACAAAATTTCATCTGTTCATATCCTTCAGATCATAAGTAAAGGAGGTTGTCTCTGTATTAATTTTAAAAGATTGTAATAATTTGACATCGAAAATGAATTAACGTAAATTGGTCCCATGGGTTATATTAAAATTTTGTCCAAATTTTGCCTTTTCAGTTATTCCATAGATTATTTTATCCCAAAAAAAAAAAGTTATTCCATAGATTGGACTCTCGCATCAGATAATTCTTTTTCTTGTTCCTTTTTCATCTTATATTCTTTTTTTTTCAAAATTTCCAAATAAACCCTAAACCGTCCAATAACGGCCCTTTTTTTTTTTTTGCCAATTTGTTACGCTCTGAACATGAACTTAAGCGAACGACATGAACTATAGTATATATTATTTATACCAAACAAAGAATTTGAGCTAAATTTGGCACGGCATGTCTGTTCTGCTGTTTGCAAAGAACCAAACAAATGCGTACTTTCTTTCTTTTTTAAGTGATATTTTCTTTCATTCAATTAAGCCTCATACTGAGTACTCCAGAAGCATGCTATTCATTTCCCTCTCATCTCTTCCAGCTAGACCGTCACAATGATTGAAGTTTCCACTATTGACTCTTCTGCTTACTTTGCTGGGAAAAGTAAGAAAAAAAAAAAAGCAAAAAAAAAAAAGGTGAAAGGATATTGCAGACATAAACACACAGAATAAACCAAAAGCGAACGGCCTATGTTCAAATTTCAACCAAATAATTGTGTCTCCCTAAAAAAAAATCTAAATGTTAAACTTAAGCCAGCTCCCAATCAATCTCCCCCAACAAACTTTTCTTCTCTCTCTCCCATCTCCTTCTTATCATCATCCTCTTGATTCTCTCACCTTCTTTCACAAAATCACATAAGTGAATTTCATAACCACTGTTCTTCATCGTCTTAATCCCCAAACTGACATAGTACCTGAAATGATTCAATCAATCTCACTCCGTTTCCTCAACAGGTGTTCGACAAATTGGGCAATCCAAGTGAGAGTAAAGCCACATGTCTATACAAACCGCATGAAACGAATGCTTACACCGAGGTAGCTTCCTCACTTCTTCGCCTTCTTCAAACTCCGATAAGCAAACTGGGCATTCATATTCCTCACCTTTCCCTCCTCCTCCTCCTCCGTCGTTTTCTTCCTTCTCCTCTGCTTCTTCTTTCTTATACTTGAAGCTTGAAAGCAGGTTCCTGTTCGAGCATTCCAAGCTCCGACTACTACTCCCTGCCGCCGCGATCACCACCTCCACCACCCGTTCGTTCCCTGTCGTCCGTTGCGGCGCGTGCCAGCGCCGGCGGCATCGTCTGATGATGATGAGGTTGTACATGGCTAGCACTATGGCGGCGGTTACGACCACCGCCAGGCCGTAGTACAGCATGGTCATGCCGGCGTTCGGAGAAGAAGAAGAAGAAGAAGAAGACGGAGGAGGAGGAGGCGAGAGTAGTGTGAAGGGGCTTCGGACGTCAGCCATTGTTGGTGAGGTTGGAAGGAGGTTTTTAAGAAGAAGATGATGAAGAATATATCGTAGGTAGACTTGAAAGCAAATCCTGGCCATGCGTTCCATGATAGAATTGTAGAAATTAATAATATTTTTATTATTATTAATAGTTTTTATTGTTCATTATATTATATATATTAATAATATTCAGGAAAAATACTTAGGTATATTGGGTTCAATTAAAAAATTTTAAATAATCTAAAGAAATTTTTATGTGATTTTTTTTAATTAATTTTATTTTTATAACATAATGCATGTTTAGTTTTTTGTCTTTTCTCTCTTTACTATTCATAATATTATAATCAACTTATATTTAATGTTACATGTTTTGATTGGACAGACTGCAAATGATATAGGATATATACTCCATCTAATTATTTCTCTAATATACAATTGTTAATCTAAAAGCCGTGGTGGTTATGCAGTCTTTTGCTTGATGAAATAATATTAACTTTTTTATGTGGGATTTGAGTTTTGTTTTTTCTTTCAAACTGTTATATACCTTGCCTTATCTTTCGTTTGTCTCCCAAATTAATTAATGCTAATACCAATATCATTTCATTATTAATATAATTAAGAGAACAAGTGACTTGCCAATATGTGTAGTTAGTAAATGCTTACGTGTTCACCAAAACATGTGCTTTGTGAAAGACATTTAGAAAACATTTGGATTGACACTTAATTTTGGTTAAATCCAACAGATCAACATTCTTCATAGTTTTCTTAAATATATTTTTATTTTTTATCTTTAGTTATACTTAGTCAAAGTTTATAATTGTTGTTGGCCAAACAATCCCACTCTCAACAATTGTTTCATTGAAAATCAAACACATAGCATTACGTCGGAATCAATTCATATAAGAGATAAATCCAATCATAATTGAAACTGATATTTGGTTTAAATATAAATATTGAATGAAAAAAAAAATTGCATCTTGACTAAAAAAATTTCAACTTTGTGATAAGGATTTAGTTTTTATATGCTTGTGTAACTTTTGATTGCCATGTGAACAATTAATTAATCATCATATCACTCATCTATCAGGACATGAGGCTATTTGCTAATGAACTTAACGTAAAGATTATTTTAATTATAATATGACTAACTGCACGTTTAGTACACAAAAATGTATATTTTTAAAAAACTTGAGATAAGTGTATTTCTTTTTTTAAATATATTTTTCTATACACAAAACATTGTTTAAATGTTTGATAAGAATACGTCACTTGAAAAGGAAATGGAAGGGAAAAGAGAAGAAAAAATGTACTTCTATGGAAGTCTTTTTCAATTGGTTTAAAATAAGTTTGGTGATTATGAAAAAGAGAAAAGATCCTTTTATTCTTTCTCGAAATATGGAGTGTAAAAAAGAAAAAAAAAAAACACACACACACACACGCACAATACACATTCATTCTTCATTATCTTGTGCAAGTTTGGTTTCATGTCATAAACGACTAAAATTATAGTTTTAGCGGTTTTAAATGTAAAACCAGAGATGTTAAGAAAATAATTAATTACTCATTTTAGTCTTATATAAAACATTTTTAATTACCACCTCGATATAAAAAAAATAGTTAACTTATTGATATATACTGTTTAAGAAAGAAAAAAATTTCTCAATTTACTTTTATTAAATGTGTCATTGTAGAAACACTTTCTTTATTAAATACAACGTCTTAACTTCCTCAAACAAAATGTGAAAGAATAAAATTGAAAAAAATAATTAATAGCCCACTTTTTACGTAAAAGTAATTTATAAAGAAATCATTAATTTCTTTAAACAGTGACTTACATATATAAAATCGGGGAAAAAAATAAATTTATTGTGTCGGTAACAAGTAACAACAACTCCATTATAGGCCTCCTTGTGTTCCTTGTGGTCATCGACAACAATGTTGTTGGGGTTTGCCGGCAACAATCATTGCAAGGGTCCTCATCCTCCTCGTCACTAGCAAGCAGATGTTACTGGGTGCAAAGAGAACATGAGGTTGTCCATGAAATGAGATCCTCTCATTCTCCATTTTCTCAGCGTATCTCATAATCTTCAAATCCTGTGCATTTAAATAATCCATTGGTCCATAATTTGCCAGATTATAAAGATTTAAAAAAAATGATAGTAAAAGCCCCCAAAAAAATTAATGATAATTGTATTCCTGAAAAAATTTCAACAAAATGAGCTGTAAACATTGATTTAGTTGCAAATAAAAATCTTAATTATAAATTGAGAGTTATTAATTATAATATTCTTAATTAGAATATATGAATATGTAATTATTGAAAGAAATATTTTCAGCTTCTTTCTTTTAATATTTATTGAGAATTTAATTGTTATTAATTTCATCTTTTAAGATTGCAACTATTTGAATTAATTTTTACAACTTATTTTTAAATTTTTTTTTATTCTGTCATTCGGTATCATGAGATGCCTAAATAAATTACCACCTCTTGCATGGACTAATATAAATCAAAGTTGTGCAGAATTGTTATTATTAATAACTGCCTCGCAAGCAATTTAGTAATGCCTTTAATATATTTATTTAATGTAATAGTATATTTTATGATTTGAATTTAAGATTTTGAAATACATTAATTTAACTCTCTTAACTAGTTGAACCAAGCATCCCTTAATATTTTTTTAAAAAAATTTTATCAGGACATAATTATATATCATTAATTTTTTTCAACCATACTGTCATTTTCTCTTTTTTAAAATTCTTATGATGTGGCACGTTATGTACCGATTGATTGCTTGAGTACTCCAAGTGCCATTGAGAAACGCAACAATGAGATGATTCGGACCAGTTGACCATATTTATTGTTTTCTCTTTTTAACAAGTTTTTTTCATGCCAACATCCTAGTGATTTATTTTCTTCAGATCATAATATATGATAATTTTTAAAAGTCTTGTTTAATTAACTTTTATAATTATTTTTTAACTATACCTCTATTTTATTTATTACTATTTAAAAAATAATTCATTATCAAAACATTTATATAGAGTATTTAATAAGTGTGTTATTAAAAAAATGTAAATTTTTAAAAAATTAAAATTTCAACTAATTTTTTGAAAATTGTGAATTGATTACCCATGCCCAATGTTATATTCTAGAGGGGTAGGATTTTGCTTGCTTTTGATTAGACATGCTACCTCTTGTAATGCTTGAAAAGGAAGCTTCTTTCATGGATACCAAACATAATGTCAAGAAGACACAAATATAGAAGTAATTAATTAAGGAAGAAGGGTGAAAAAGACAATAATTGAAGATAAATGATGTGTCTGCGTTGCAAATTCTTTGCTTGTGGATTTGGTTGTCATCACTAATTTACAGTTATTTTTGTGTGTATTAGGAAGAATTGGTTTTATTCACTTGTAAACGTGCCCTCATTCACTATATTTTCTCATTATCATGTCTCTTTCAAAGAAACGTGCCGTTCAGTTATACATGTATCAGAATTTTTTAAAAAAATTATTAACTTTATTTTTTAAAAAAATATGAATTGGCAAGTAGTTCATTGGATTGTAGGAAAATTGACTCTTAAAACAGAAGATTCCATAATATGATAAATGGTAAGAGTGGCACTCGATTGAATTTTTATTTTCGCACTTCGTTTTTCTATAACAAGTTTTTAATTAGAAATTAGAAATATTAACTAAATGTGGTACATCCCAATTCTCAATTGAAACCCACTTAAATAAAAGAAAACTTATGTAGGGCCACAAGAGTCTGGCTTGTCTCCACTCCTACAATTTGGATAACTATTGAAAGTTTGAAACAACTTTGTCATGCGTTAGAGATCTAATTTAAAAAAAAAATCCAGACATAGATTTTATAAATAGTTTTATTTATTACTTTTTTATTTTAAATAAACTTTAAAAGATTTACATTTCAGGATTCAAAGTATCATCTTATTATAGAGTTAAAATTTCATTAGATTAAAGTACTTCTAATTTTTTAAGAGGAGTAATTAGCACAGAAAGTATATGGTGTATATGAAACTTATTTTTTATTGTTATCTAATGTCTATTTTTTATTTTTTTCAATTCCCAATGACTTGACATTTCTGTAAACTTTTAAGTTCTCACAAGCACTATACTATACCAATTAACAATTATAGAGACAGCTGGAAAGAAGAAAAAGTGGTTTTTGTTTCCTACTAATAATAATAAGATTCTTACAGCAACACAAAATAATTTTATATTTCTGCCAATAAAATTAGGATACTTGTCTTAAATCAAAATTTTGTTGACATATTTTTTTACAAAGAAAAATTTAAATTCATTGGGTCTCGAGTGCCCGCTGAAAGTCCAAAATTAAGACATATTTTCAGAATCAACAATATTTATTTATAAAGTATCTACCAACAAATTGAAATACTTTCTTACAAACTTTGTTTACAAGGCTTTTCATTACAATTTTATACTTTTAAGTAAGCGTTTGTCTTTTAGCAATGCTTTTTCTTTCTTTCTTTCTTTCTTTCTTTCTTTCTTTTGTTCTTCTCAGATTTACTTTACTTTGCCCACTGTAACTAGAAATAAACAAAATAATGCGGAGCTCATGCTTATGTCATGGCAGAATAAGTTTATATTAATATTTATATCATGTATGGTGGCTTTGGTGGAGGTTCAAACCCTCCTCCAACTTTCAATATATGTTTATTGACGTTTTGTTTTATAATACACCCACAACATTTCCAAACATGGCTTTCCATCAACAGCATAATCTACTGCATACATATAATGATTAGACTGAGTATCTCACCTTTTTTGTGATTTTTTTTCTTTTGGGTTAAAATTAGATTGTGAGTGGTGCTTTACAAATATAAAATAAGTCCCATTACTAATAGTATATATTTGTATAAATTTTACGTTTTATATGCAACAGAAATTTAAATGTGTTTTACAACTGACCCCAAAAAATGTGTGGAAAAAATAATAAAAAGATGGGTGTTATAATTCAATCGGCATATGATTAATATATTAGGTCTATAGGGTACACCTCACATGAGTAAAATGTTATTGCTAATGTACAAATGTAATATATATATATATATATATATATAGAATGATAATACACAATCAACACTAGCCTTGTTTTAAAAAAAAAAAAAAAGTTTTGAAAGAGCATGAGGCAAATGATTTGAATAAAAAAATATATCAAATGTGGATAGCTAGAGGATTATGTTGTTCAACACAAGACAAATAGATATCTATACATAATTGTTCTGAATATTATAAGAATAATAGATGTGCACCTTCATCACCTCTTCATGTTTATTTTCTCCCATAAAACTCTTACCATTATGAAAATTGATCATCCTTTATCATTTGTGTAACTTTTGATGTATAAGATCATGTAACTAAAACATGTAATTTGTATTGTAAGACACAATAATTCATAAAAAATTCTGTCATTCTCTTATCTTTACATCTTCTTCTGATATCTTTATTTTCTAATTGCTTAATTTTATAATAATAGTTCATTTGTTGCCCTATTGAAAAAAAAAATCAAAATTCTCCCGTTGAAATAAATGCCTTATAAATAGTACCCCAATGAATGAAGTAACTAAATTGAAATCACCTAAATTTCAGTTAGAGCCATACACATGGTGCCATCGAATGTCACGTTTTGTATATAAGTACAAACATTTACAAATGGATTGTTTTATAGCCAATATAAATGTAAGAATATGTTGTTCCGCTTCTCTTGATGCTGGCACTGGTGGATTATTAATCCTCAGCTATTACCATCAATCACGGCCAAGAAACCACCACAAAGCATTTAGATCATTAGACAATTAATCTACCTTAACTAGAAGTCTCAAATTTTGAGAGATGAGCGTTCAACGGCTATGAAATCCTAGATAGAAAGAATACCACCAAATATTTGAAGCAAATCTTGAGTTTCGATGTTTCTATTGCAATTATCCAAAGTTTCTAAGGCCGGAGAATGCGCATTGCCATGTTTAAATACTCTTCTCACAAAATATTTGTAACAGAGACATACGCAATTTTAGAGGAATCACCAAGTCCGGACAGCATGTGCTCATAATTTTTGGCAAACATTATCATCAAATAAACCAACTCACCAAAGTACTAAAAACCAAATCTCAAAAATTGATGATCAAAATCATAGTTAAATCATGATCAAATTAAATTATAAACAAAATATTTTATTAAACCGCTCAATACACCAATTTAATGATTTATCAGTTCAACCGAAATTGACCCGATTGGATGAAATTTGGCTGATTAATCCAACCCAAAATACAGCACAGATAAAACATCACTAAATTTGCCCCGGTGCCTCAAATTTCTTATTTTTTTTCTTGGGGCCCAAAACCCTTGAACGCCTCCATGTCCCCAAGAATGAAGGGAAAACGATGCCCAAAAGAACACAAAAATGCAAGTTTGCTGAAGAAACAGGGAATTAGAACAAAACTTGTCACTTAAGTCCAACAAAATTTATGGAACAGTTGAATGAATTGTAAAAACTTGTGACAAAAGTACATCAAAAACGGTTAGGAAAGATTATAGAACTTTGAACTCATGTACCTTCGATAAACATTGCTTTCAAGACAACCTAAGCACTCAAATGCCAAATATTTGGCACAAACGGCTTGTACAGGACCAGTCAAATTGCTTCAAGCAACAGGAAGCTCAATATCAGTTGCCACAATAGCAGCAGGCCGGCTGTATTCGTCCTCCTCCTTTGGCGGGTGGATTGTGACAACATCAGGGAGAGGAGTTTTGGGACCATGCTTTCCTTTAGGATCCCAATCGAGCATGATCTTAACCTTGATACCAAGAACACCCTAAAACCAAAAAAAAAAAAAACAAGCACAATCAGTGAACAATACATTGGACCGTGTCAACTAGAATAAGCCATCATAAAACTCAGAAGTATAAATGAGAAGAAATTCTACCAGAACTAGAGAAGTCCTGACCTGTCTTAGAAGAACGTGTCTTACGGCAGAATCAATGTAGTCCCTGACTGGCTGCCCAGAAGAAATCATGTATCCATCCTTGAACTTCATGGACTTTGCTCTCTGAGCCCTCAATTTTCCACTTACAATAACCTACTCAATAATCGAACAGTACTTACCATCTATCTAAAGCAACATAGCTACAAAGCAGTTCAAAGATGGGTACTTCAGAACAAACCTCACATCCCTTGGCACCGCTTTCCATAACAAATCTCAGAACACCGTAGCAAGCCCTGAAAACAAACAGTTATTAAGATATATAGTTTATGCATGTGGAGAAGAATCCTGTTATTGCAATGAATGTTAAGAAATTCTATTCCCAGAAATGAATTATTGAAATATATTGGAAGTTCAAGTGACAATCAAGTAACATATCGAAAGATAATGACATCCTTAACCAGGCGGAGGCATGCAAAATATTCAATTCTCTAGGTATCCAAGTCCATATGTAACACAGGTAACCATTAACTGCAATCTCTCTGTTTCAAGACAACTAATGATTTAAGCGTCTGAAAAAAAGGCACATGTCTAGTAGCTCAAATGACAGAAAAGATTGGCCAATCCAAGTTTTCAAGCATAACATTGCATTGAGAGAATAATATTCAAGGAACACAAGGCGCTAGGAGGAAATATATATAATCAAAACACAACATGTATCCCCCAACGTCACTACATGAACAGAATAAAGCTTCAAGAGTTTTGATCGCATGGAGGACAACAAATAATATAGTCATCTTCCGACACAAAGTTGGTATGGGAACGCAAATCTGCTTTATAGATGACAACAGAAGATAAAACAAAATATTGGATTCGGATTGGCCATAAAATTTATGTAACGCACAAAGAATAAAGTATGCATAAGAATAACAGAACGTATATGATAAATTTATCGCTTTAGGAAGCCTGTTCTGAGGGCATTATTCATGAATTTGTGTTAATAAATAAAATAATGACTTGGTAAAAAACATCATCATGAAGAGTGATAATCCAGATTAGCATTTGATAAACATAACCTTGCGAACAATCCAACACAACTACATTGCATCCAAAAAGATGCATCAAATACACACACATACAAGCCACACATTTCTGGTTTAAAACTTTCAAAAACATACCTCCGTACGGCGAGACCACCAAGAAGCTTGTAGCGAAGAGACTCCGCCTGGGCAATAGCGCAGAGACCTCTGTTGTTTACCTTCTCAGCATAAAGTTCCACACTATTCTCAGGAAACTTAAACCTCTTCTGGACAACAGAAGTCAGCTCCCTAATTCTCCTTCCCTTCTCACCTATATTCTCAAGAGATAAAAATTACGATTAACTCGAGAAAAATCGGAAAAAACTAAAGTTTGTGGATACAAACTTTGATATGAATAAATGAAACCACGTACCAAGAACGTTCTGAGTTCGAGTGGCTCTGATAATGATCTCAGTACGCATTGGGGTAACTCTAACCTCGACACCGGAGTATCCATCTTCAGCTAGCTCTCTAGTCAGAACCTCATTCAGCTCGGCGAAGAAAACTCCATCGGCAACGAACTGCATACGTACAATAACAAATCAAGAGTAAGGAAATGGAATGACAATCAGGAGAAAAAGCTTAAGACTGATATAAAACATCAACTGAGAAAATGGAAAGATCGACTTCAATGCTAATTCTCACTAAGCAAAACAGCGATGAAGTTCTAACCTTTCTCTTCTTGCTCATCTGTGTCGCCATTGTCGCAAATGAAATGGGATGCAGAAATAAGATGCAGAGGCGAAGTATCCAACGTTGCCGCTGCAAAGACCGTGGCTCCACAAACCCTAAATTCCGAGGAGGGCTTTGGAGGGAGAAGGGGATTATATTATGTAGGAGATAATCAATCCAACGGCGGCTGTGCAATCAGGGTTTGGCATCTAACGGATGAAACCAATTGTCAGATTTATATTCAATTATTATGAATTGTGAATATGAATATGAATTGTCGAATAAGAAATATACTTTTTTTCTCTTTTTGATCATTTTTATTCAACGTTTACTCCCTCGCTTTCAAATGTTAAAAAAAAAAAAATCTGACCAAAACTTTTGGCTAATGAAACCACTATATGTCTTGCTGCTTTTTTACCACATATTCCCTCTAATCTTATTTATAATTATTTTTAACAGGTTTCATCAAAATTAAAAAAAATAAATTTTATTAATTTTATTTTAAAACTTAATAAGTTTTTACCCTTATCTCTAATAAAAATTATTAAATCTCAGTGCTGTTATTTTTATTCAAAGTATTTAATAAAAAAATTATAAAGAGAAGTATTGAAAATTAACAAGTATCATATAAATATAACCAAATTATTTTCTCTCTTATCTTATAAATAGGACAAAAGAAATAAGGAATAGACTCTATTAATAATAAAAAAATCAACATTATAAATTTTAAGAAATATTAGTTATATTTTTCAGGAATTATCTCTCATAATGGATGGTATCATTAAATTACAAAAATAAACTTTAATCGTAAGGACATTTTAATCCAAATATTTTTTTTCAAACATAATTTTATAAATATTTATATTTACTGAGTTTATAAGTATTTGTTGAATATTGAATTTTATTCATTGATATAAATAAAAATATATATATAGGTCCTTGTAATTTTTTTAATTTTGAATTAAGTTTTTATGGTTTATTTTTGTTTTAATCACTGAATTTTTTAATACTTGGAAATTAAAATTATTTAAAATTTTAAGTAAAATTAAGAATTTATATAATTAAATTTTATTCTAAATATTTTTACGTATATAGAATTTTCATAACAAGTTAATAAAAATATAAATATTGAATAAATTATTTTCTTAATTTTTGCCAAGAGAATTAAATCAAATTTTCTATAAACTCTAAAAGATTTTTTTGTCTTGGGAAGGTTGCTAATTCATTAGTAATTTTATTCTTCATGCATTAACAAATGTGTTTGATCTTATTTCGGAGTGTTGTGCCCCTTGCGCATGCCAAGGGTGCCGAATGAGCTGTGTCCTCTAAGTGCTCAAGCTATCAAATCTTGAGCAGTTAAAGAGTTCATAGAGAAGTCATTGTTCATTCCTCATTGGTGCATATGATGTAAGTGTTCCAATGATCAAAGGAGAAGGCAAGGTAAAGAATCTAGGATATCTAAACTGGAAGTAAAGGATTGCACCAAGCAAAAATTGTAATTGACACAAGATTGATTGAGTTGCTTGATCTATTTGGTCTATTAAGAGTGTTGGAAAGAGCCTTTAGTTACTCATTTATTGATTTTTATATGAGTATTTTAAATTTGAATTTGTCCACCAACCAAGGGCTGTAACTATTCACACTTACTGTAGAGGATGGGTGTGCCTTGATGAAGGATTCTAACAATGTGAATATTCTGAGTTTCACGAATGACCGGTTGCAACCCTCACACCTAGTTGCCACTCCTCTTAAACGTAACGTTTTATTAGAAGTCCTGTCCTTCAAGTCTTTTGAATTGGGTTGAACTTGGAGAATTCATGTATTAGGCCTCGCATTTTCTACTTTTGACCCATGGCAGTTTTTTTAAGTCCAAACAATATCTAGATCCAATTATAAAAACTCAATTAAAACAAAAATATTCAAAGACCTAATTTGAGATTGAGAGAAACTATAAGGAACTACAGATCAATTTTTCCTAAATATTATCTAGCTGTCAAAGACTTTGAATCTCTAGTGACACAAAACCCTTTCTCTTTCCAAGGGTGATCACTGTCGCTCACAAGTTTAAAACTATGATATGTGCGCCTGCGTCTATGTTGGGATAGATGCATGTATTGTGTTTAAATCGACTTGTTTTGAGTAAGCTGATCTCCGTTCTTCGAAAATTGCAAATCTCAACTAAACTCGTAATGCTAATCATACCAAATTGAACCAGTTCAAAGTGACATGAAGCATTGAAAATCAATTACTATAAAAACAAAAAAAAAATCCAAACATTTTGTCCTGTAACACTTTCATTTTTAAGGACAACCTTTCCTTCTTTCCCTTTTTTGGGTACAGTAATCACATTTCTTGTTAAATAAAAAGGGGAAATGAAAACACACAAGTTCGTCACCTCGGTAGGCCCAAATGACCAGCATGCATCTCTGTTCGACTCAAGTAGATAATGCCCAAATGACCAGAATGTTTGAGAGTGAACGAGACTTTTGAAAAGCCCATGGCCTTTGGGTCCATTCTTTTTGGAGATATATGGCTCATTCACTTGTCCTACATGATTTAAATAATAAAATCATGCTATTTAAAACTTATAAATAATACCAGTAATAAAGTTTATTTTATATATTGATACCGATGATCACTTTTTGCATTAAAAACTAGAATCTACGGCATTTGTTAATATTTAAAAATGGATCTTTTTCATTCGTGATATTAATCAAAATCGTAAAATCCACAAAATACTTAGTATGACTAAGTACGGTTATTGCAGATTGTCGTGTCTTGCACAAAATGAGAAAAAAAAAAAAGGTGTTACATTTATAACATGACATTAATTTAAATTTATTATTTGAAAACAGGTTCGCCGTGTGTTGAGTTACTGAAACGAGGAAGAATTAGGATCCGTACTAAAACAGTGTTATTCGTGTTAACCGAAAAGACTGGAGTTTAGACTTCGGATAATGTGGGTCTGCGCCTGTATGTTGTTAAAATACCAGGAACAGGAACATATCGTTTTCAGAGAAGATGGGTAGAAGTAGGACATGGGAGAATATGAATTTAGTGCTCATGGCGTTTTTGAAATAAAAAGCTTGTATCTGGCTATATATATATATATATATATAGAGAGAGAGAGAGAGAGAGGGGCTTGTAAACTTTAACTCAAAGGAAAGATTATTAGAATATGATGACCAAGTGTGTAGAGGTGAGATGAAAAAGTATCATACTTCTTCGGTTCAATATATAATATTTTTTAAAAGTATAATTTAATTCACTTCATAAATTATTTATTAATAAAATTATTTTATTTTAAATTAAAATTTTTAAATTATCTTTAAAAAGTTAGAGAGAGAAGGATAAAAAAATAATATTATACGATTTGATTTATTTTTTATTTAAGAGTTATGTTTGAAATTATATTTACTTTTATTCTTATACTTTTATTATATTGATATTGATAAGTTTGATAAAAATAATTTATAAATAAAATTAAAAAAAAATATTAAATAAAATTGAGTTTAATAATTAATATATAATAAAAATATAGACTTGTCGGTAACACATGCAAGAGCAGGTTGAGAGGGGCCAAAAATTTGAAAATAAGCATAAAATGAAGTGGCTAAAATCTACTTCAAAATGTTTCTTACAGGTAAAAGTTTTTTTTTTTCTAAAGGATTATTGATATGACCCTACCTTGTATAAGGATTTGTCTCCGGACCCATAAACTTTAGTTTTGAAACTTTACACGTCCAATCTATATCAACCAATCTTAAATATTGCCACTACTTTTTACGTTAGAATTTTTTTCCCCAATTTACCAATTAAATGTGAAACGCGTTCTTTTGTACCAACTCTTTTACTAATCAACAACCTTGAAGCCGACCATAAAGCACAATGCTTTTATAGTTACCAGTAATCTTTGTTGTGTGCAATCAATGACATTACAAATGTGTTTTTTAAAAAAGAAGAAGAAGAAGAAGAAGAGGACAAATAGCTTTGAAATTTAATGACATGTAAGGTTTTTTTATACGTAAAAGGTGGTGAATTTAATCTTGCATGTAACATCAGGCAGTTAGAACCTTTCTCTCAAATTAAAAGGAAAAGAGAGAGAGAAGGCAAGAGTGAGGAAGGAAGGTGAAGTATCATAAGAGGGAGGGGGAGAGATGACGAATCATGGAAGAGCAACCCCCTGCAATGTTTACGCCTCTCCTGAGAATAATCTCTCATTCTCAACTTTACACTTAAAAACTCCCTCACCATCGCCTCATTCTTTCTCAGATTTGGATACAGAGAGTCGCACAAGTTCACCCATTCAATCAATATTTCATGCAGTACAATAACAATTGTCGGTTTAATTAAATAGTTTTTAGATATTTTGTTATATGATAATCAAAAAATACTAAATTTTAAATTTTTAAAAGAGACAATATATATTAAGGATGTTTTGATCATGATGGTTGTTTTGAATTTTTAAATGAAGTTTGTCTTAATAGTTTCCAAGTGTCAATGAAATCCAATAATTGTCATTAAGACATTTATTGAATAAAAGGATTTAAGATACGAAAGAATCTAAATTCATTCTTTCTAGTGCCCTTTTCACAACCTTTCATTTTTTTAACATTTCAAAAATTCAACGTGAATGATCTTAAATAAAATTTAGGTCAAGTCTAAAACCTTAATGAGATTAGTATGAATATTTGAATTCTTTTTATTATTAATAAAATGAGCTTAATCGTCACTTCAACTTTCTCTCATCTCTCACAAATGCTCTGATAGACTCCTAATTCGTACATTTCATGCTTCTAAATAAAGTTTTAATATTTTAGTAATTGTTTGTTTTGAATATTTTTTTTTGAAAATATTAAGGAAAAATAAGGATGGAAAAAATGGTGTTATACAGTGTTATGTTGTATGAAAAATCTTAATTTATATAAAATTGAAATTGGATAAAAATAAAATAAAATAATATTTAATAATTTAAGTATTTAAGCAAGCTCAAAAGATAAAAATGTTAAAATTAACTTTGGCTGTATAAGTTTTTTATATGTTCAGTTATTTTAAACTTGAACTATACTTGATTGACATGAATTATTAGCTCTATTCAAAACAACTCAATCATGGTTGTA